CTAGAAATTTATTTGAACTCTAATATAATTGAATTAGTCCTGTAACAATGATTTGATGCAAGTTATAATTCATCCTTATTTCAAAATATTTTAATGAATTATGCATGGGACAAATCACTTTGAATGAAAATTTATTTCTCCCATTTTGTGAAATTTGTTATTTAAAATTAAATTTAAGGTGTTACACATGGTGTGAAACTAAGTAAGTCCCTGAGGTTGATGGTGTCAGGAAACTATAATCACAGTGCCATAGTGACCGTGGTTAATTTGCGCGTGTGTGTGGATTGATTGAAGGTGCAGTGAGTGCACCTGTGTATGAATTAGTGTAAAATGACAATATGTGTGGTGGACTTGCCATAGTATTATGAATGTGACGTGTGCCATGTTAGAAAGAATTAGTTTATGTTTACGCAATGTATGATTCTAACTATGTTAGGTAAACGTTTGGAATATGTAAAGTGAGTCTCTATGTTTGTATATGTGATAGTGTAGAGGACTCACCCCTTACATTTATTTTTCAGGTGAGAAAGACGATCAGCATCAAGCTCACTAAATAGGATAGATGAAAATGCTATAAGACTTAGGAAATTATTTGGAAATTGTGATGTACTAAATAGGCCCTGTAGCATTTATTTTTATTCAAATTTGTAACTTATCCCATTTTTTAAAATACTTTATTGGAACATTGCATTTGAAGCTATTTGAATGGAAATTTTGTTATTATCCCTTTTTAATTTGCGAAAAAGATTATTTGAAACTAATTAAAGTGTTACAATTTTGGTATCAGAGTAGTTTATCTAAACTAGATTGGGGTATTAGGGCTGATATGTCCAAGCTGTGTGCTGATATGTTCTTATTTACTTGAATTGTGAATGTTTGATGTTATACTGACTTTTTAAATGTGGTTTGTTGAATTTGTTTGCAAGACTAGATTAGAAATTGTTGGTAAGGGTAGAGGAGCTGGTATCACCAATGACCTCCTAGAGCGGATGACTCAAGTTTTGAAGGCTCTGGTGCATAATTAGGACGAAAAGTCAACTGAGTATAGAGGAATGTCAACCTTCACGAGACATAACCCTCCGAATTTTAAGAGAAAGTTTGACCCAGATTTTAGTAGTTGTCAATGTATATTTTGACACTTATTTACTTCTTTTTTACATAATTTGTACTTAAATTCCATGCAATTTATAATTTAATTCATTTAAGTTCACATCATTTAAATTCAGCAACTTTAACCTTAATTTTGTCAAATAATAGAAGATATTTGATCCACTTCTCTTGTGTGAATTTATTTAAGGGCAAAGGCTTGATGAGGTGTTCACATTTATAGCTTTATTTTGTCTTTAAAACACCTTTCATATGCCTTATTTTGAGAGTTTTTACCATTTCTTATTAATAGAAATGATTTTGGCTTGTCTTACATGAATGTTGTAATTTTGTATTTTTAGCCAATCTAACCTCTATCAACTCTTTTGGCCATAAATTTTTCTATAACTATTATTTTTATCTAATTCCATGCATTGAATTCTACACATCTAGGGCTTCAAAATGCATATATGGTTTGCTGGATTTGGAGTTGTTTTCTTTTTTTTTTATAATTTTTGAAGATGGGTTAGATTTGCTAAAGTCACCCAGAATTTTAAGTCTCGCTTAAGTGAGAATTACCTCGCTTGAACGAAAAATGCAGAATTCACACCAGATTTTTTGCTGGTTTTCTCGCTTGAGCAAGGATAGACCTCCCCCAAGCAACAATTAGATTGCTTGTGCGAGAAATCCTGCAATAGACTTTGCTCTCTGGCCATTTCTTGCTTGAGCGAGAATCTGGATGAGAAATGGCGCTTGAGCGAGAAATTTAGTAGCAGACTTTGCTCTCGATTTTTATTTTTATTTTTTGCTTGAGAGAGAATTGGATTGCTTAAGCAATCATTCACTTATTGCCCTATATAGATAGAAGATTCAGCTAGAAAAGGGGGAGGCAGAATGGGCTTTGAAGCCACAATACATAGTGACCTAAATTGGCATTGCAAAACAGTGAAGAAGCTTGGGAAAGTGATCAAGAACCATTGGGAGAACTAATTTTTATCTCTTTTCCTTGCATTTTCTTATTGTATTGTATGCCATGAACAACTAGAACTCTAGGGATTAGATGTAATCTTCATACTCTGAATGTTTTAGAATTTTTAATATATGTTTGTTCATTTACCATGATTTGGATATGTTTATCTTGATTGTAATGCTTGTTTCTACCTTACAGGGAATTGTTCATGATCTTGGAATCCGGAGTGAGTTGGGAGACTATCTTGGAACCTAGCGGGGTAAATACACGCAATAGGTTGAGACTCTAGGAATAGATTTTAATCTATTATATATTATATAACTTTTGCTGGTAATGCTAGATTATTTGTTGTTTAGGTAAGAAATTATCACTCAATAAATATATCTTAGAATCTCAAGTGAAAAGAATCATAGAACTTTGGCATTTGTTCAATGTGTGTTAGAACCAAAATATGAAAAGGATGATAGATGAAGTTCAATCCTTAATCTTATCATAATAGTTTAATTTGCTTTTATTTGCATTTATTTTCTATGAACCAAACTATCAAAAAGTTCAAAATATTACTTAGTTGTACATTTGTGAATATTTAAGAATTTACTAATTTTAAATTGGATAGCTGAAATCACTCAAGTGTCAACATTCCTTCTGGATATGATAACTCTTTATATTACATCGAAAGATTGGTATACTTGCCAAATCCATAACAATTACACTACAACTCAAGTGACTTTAATGATACCTTTGTTGATACAAGTACTTCAAGAAACGAACTATTTGCTATTTCACTATTCATATTATTCTCCGTGTATTTATTCATATATTATTAACTTCTGAACACTTTTTGTAAAATTCAAACTATGTCTACCTTGTATAAGTAATATGATTAACCATTTAGTAATCAACATGATGTAAGAGATATATGGCACAATTAAAAGAAAATTGTAATTAAACAATATATTTGCCTAAAAAACTAGCAACATAAAATGGTTGCATCTTATGTGCTTGCCAAGTATATTTGCTTAGTGTGATTTTTCCTAATAATAATTTGGATTTAAGTCTTATGTGTTGATAGTAAAACAATTATTGTTTTAAAATAAAATTGTTTAAGCAAGTATAATGTTGGCTTAAGTGGATAAATATTAGCTTAAGCAAAACTTAAGCAAAAATTGTAAATAAAAGATTCTTACAGAGCTTAAGCAAAATTTGACAAAAATATCATTGGGTTATTACTATATAAATTTAGCTTTGTATGACTCAAGCAAATTATACAAAGAATGATTTTTCTGTATATCTTAGTGTTCAACTACATCTTTAGTCATCACCTTTACTTCAATTTAGCCAAGTTGTTTGTTCATAAAGAGTTGTTTGGGAAGAAAATTTTTGGAAGGAAAGACAAATTTTGTATTAAAAATAAATATATTTAAAATTAATATTTTTTATAATAAAATATATGAATTGATATATTTACATAAATTTAATATTTTAATCATGTATTTACCATTATAATTGATATATAATTTTTTTTAATTTAAAATTAAAAATATATGACTTCCCTTCTAAAATCCTCCTTCTAAATAGAGCTGTCAAAACAGACAACCCAGCCCGACCCGATACAGGTAGCGGGCTCAAACAAGTCGGATTTATTTAGCCCTAAATAAAAAATGGCTTGCATTTTTATTGCCCAAGCTTTGCCTTATATGGACTACAAGCTTCTGCGGACTGGCCTGACAGCCCGAATAAATTCTTTTTTGCTATTTTTTTTCTATGGTTGTAACAGACCATTTTTTTTTAATTTTTGTAACAACAAGCCACTATTTTTTATTTTTTTTTGCTATTTTCAGTATTTGTAACAGGTCATTTTTATGTTGCTTTTGTAACAGCCTAATAGGCTACTCACTTTTTTTTGTCCAGTTTTTGTATTAGACTATTTTTTTTTGTTTTTTTAAGTTGTAACAAAACCATTGGTTCTTTTTTTTTTGTAACAGCCATTTTTTTATTTCTATATACACAATAAGTTCACAAAAATATAAATAAGTTCACAATTAAATAAAGTTTCAAATGCAAAAAGTCTATACACATAATAAATGGATCAACCTGATTAATCTCAAATATATATATATATATATATATATATATATATATATTTGTGTGTGCGCGCGCATGTGTGCGGGCAGCCCAAGCCCACATGGGCTAGCTAGGTTAAAGCCCTACCAAATATCAAGCTTATCTAGACCAGGCCAAAATGTCCTGAGGTAATGAGCCCAAGCTTACCATTTAACGGTTTTTTTTTTTTCAGGTCGGCTTATTTTGCTGGCTCTACTTTTAAACATACCTGAAAAGAATTAAAATGAGTATATGATATTTTCAAATTTAATTGATATAACAATGCAAAGAAGATACGATTATTGAATTGTTGGATTTGAAAAATATATTTGTATGTTGTTAAGAGGAAAAATTCAAGTAGGACAATAATGAATTAATTTCATTCAATCTCTTAATTTAGATATCAATTTTAATCTTTTAACTTTAAATTTCAACCAAAATTATTGAATTAGCTATTAAAAGTATGAAGAAAAAACTCAAACTAACTTTATAAATAGAGATGAAAGTCAATGTGTTTGAAAGAATAGAGATGAATTTCTTATGAATACCAAAAAAAAAAACTTATTTTTAAAATTCTTATAATTAGTATTTTTTTAATTACCTTAAAAAATTTCAAAAAACATTTTAAATATCTAATATTTTAATATTTTTCACCTACAAAATATTAACAAGTTAAAATATAAATACCATAATTTCTAAAGCATGTAATAATATATAATTTTATTAATTTATTTATAAATTATATAATACACTAATTTACTTGAGACATGTCCTGTAATTTTAATAAAATAAAATATTATTAAATATATAAAAAAACAGCACTTTTCGTGATTCACAAAACAATTTTCTTTATAAACAATTCTGTAATCTTTAAAATATCGGAACGAAATTCAGTAGGTTCCCCAAATGGCGATGTCGTCGAAAGGTTCAACAACTCAATACCCGAGTGCTGCGAGAATCGCTGATTCTCAGTGTTTTCCTCAATACACTGCTTCACTCAAATGTGAGATACTCTTATTGCTCTTCCTCTTTCATCCATTACTTTTTCTCTTTTAACTTTTTATATCAATTGAATGTCTAGGCTTTGCTCTCTGATATTCTCATTGAATTTTAACTAAAAGGCCAAGGAAGTTTGAACCTTTCTAGATACGTGGGTAGTTTTTCTTTTTCGTGCGTTAAAAAATATCATTTTTAATATTGGGAATTAGGTGCTCGAGTTAAGTGGAAGTCAAGAAGTTCTTTTTTTCGATGGGGAAATAAATTTATGGAATGAAGTTGACTATTTTATCTATTGAAACAAAAAATAATTTAAAGAAATGAAATGAACAAATGGATTAAACGAAGAAGGAAGGACTTAAAGCTTCTGAGTTTGAACATTTAGTCAACATTAGTAGATGAAATGGAAAATGAAATATCGTGGAAAATAAGCTTGACCTCTATCAACATACATTACGATCCTTAAACTAGTTGGTCTGTTTGATTTGATGGTCTTGTGCACGCTAGATGTTTCATTTTTAGTGTGATAAAATATTTAGTATGCTTAACATGACCTTGTATAGCTCTTGTCTTTTAAAAGTTTATTGGTTTGTTCCTTTACAATATTATATGAGATCAACGCATCTGGGTCTTTAAAATGTATTAGGTTGTCTTATTAAGCTTTCATACTATATATTTGATTGATTGAATCCTTTTGGTTTATGGTTGAATAATACATAAATGTGAAGATAATGTTGTACAAGGGCAACCGTTGTTGAAATGCTTATGGTGCCATAGTTATGTTGTTAATTTAAATGTTGCACTTTTTCTTTTTGGTATCATGACTAATGTTGAGTATAAATGATTGAAAATTCTATGCCCTTGCTTGGGATGTAAGACATGGCCCTGTAAGTAATGTTTGACTGCATGCTATTCTGCCAATTATCAGTGTATCTTACGTTGTTTGATAAACATTTCCAGGTTTAGAGGAATTTAATTCTGATAAGAGTAAATGTCAACAACATTTTGATGTTTACAAGGAGTGCAAGAAAAAGGAGGTACTGGAAATTTCAACGGTTTTGTTTTTTCATTCCTTTTTTTGTTTTACATTGCATATTTTGAAAGTGATGGCGTGGATCTAGGAGGATTAAGTGTTTTATGCAAGTCATGTTGCTCTACCTGAAATTTTGATACTGATATTCAAAAGGAAAAGGTTGTTATACTGTTCAGTTTTATGTCTGTATAGAATTATTCAGTTTGTAAGCGTAACTGCTCATTCCTTACTTCATGTTCTCCTCTTCTACTTGAGAATGTTTATCGGGATACAATAAATATTTAAAGGTTACCTAATCCCTAGGAAGGTGGGAAAGATTAAATAGTTTTCATTGTAACCTTAGATTTTGAGAAGCCTGGCTGAGCTCTCGGCAAGGCTCAACCCCTATATCAAATTGGCAATGTCGCTCAGGCTAATCAAATTAATAATTCATTTTCTATATAAAATAAAACTACAGGAGGTTTTGAAAACATTAACTTATGTGAGATATTGATTATAAAAGCACATTTTATAACAAATCTTTTGTTATTCAAATCAAAATATGAATCTCTAATTTCACTTTCATCTAGCTGTGAAAAATTTTATTCCAAGATTTTTGTTAACTGTTGGGTTGAGTTATTGCTTTTACCAATTTCTTGTTTAATTTGATTGTTCAAATCAGTTATATCATGGAAAAATAAATTGGACCTGATTTTCTATGATTAAGCTTTGGTGGGTATTAGATGGTGACATGGTGTGTTGGGGAACTTGTTTGGAAATAATGCATTGGTGGTTAAATATGTTTACTTTAGAATGTACTTTTCTATGGTACTAGGTAATCTGTAGTAAGTGAGATTAGCCAAGACTAGGCAGGGAATTTATCTCTTGTGGTTATGCATCTTTTGAACCACTTGCCTCCTAGGGTTTAAAAATTTGGATAATGGTTCTAGATGTTGATCTGTTTTGCATCTGCAACTTCACTGAACGAATGATGCAGTCAGCACAGGTGTAAAAGCCCTCTATTGATTGAGCAACTTTCCATATCCATTGCAAGTTTTTGTTCTGTTTGTCAACCGGTGCTTGCATTTGATAGATAGATTTATAAAACAATTTTTATGTTTGGTGCATTTTGAAGATAAAATAGAATAGGACTTTGGTTAGAAAAGTGACACATTTTATGTTCCACTAAAAAGATGGAATCCAAAGAGAGCAAAGCAAAGAAAAGCTGAGAGTAAAGCATGAACGAAAACTTTTTAGGAGTTCTACCTAGATCTTAGGACCAAGGTAGTTAAAATCAGGATTTTACTTAAAATCGTTAAGAGAAGTAAAAATCGTAAAATCGTAAATCGAATCGTAAGATTTTACAAAAATTATATATACATGAATATAAGTTCATATTCTGCATATAAAATAGCTGAAATTAAAAAAAATATATTAAATCACTAAAAGTACTTCAATAATTCATATTTCATAAAAAAACTATTAAGCATAATCCACGAAAAAACAAGAGGAAGATGAGAAAAAAATAGCTAATGAGTAGGTTGGGGCAGAGAGAACCAGAGAAATCGCCAAGAAGAAGAAGAGGACTTAGCTAACAGTGCACTTAAGGTTCAATGAAGAAGATAAGAATGCAGGACTCCTTCGCGCCTAATTGAAAAGCTGTGTCGGGCTCAGGATTTCATTCGCGCCTAATTAAAAGGCTGGGTGGGCTCAAATTATATACAATTTGGGCCGATTTGACGATCCGACCCCTGTTTGGCTGAAATCGGGAGTAAATCGGGATTTCACCGATTTCCCGATCTGAATTGCGATTTCACACCGATTTCAGTCAGCTCCGATTTTTGTTGCACTCTAAATCGATTGGCTGGGATAAATCGTAAAATCCTACGATTTTACGATTCGCATCCTGATTTTAACTACCATGCTTAGGACAAAGATTAGCAAAAGAAAGATATAAAGCTTGTCAAAAATAGAGAAAGAAAATCCAAAGATTTGGATCAAGGATGAAGGGGGGAATTTTTTTTATTACCAGTGAAGAAACTTTTTCTAATGATGAGAAGGAGCAAATGATAATATAGAAGGATTAAAAAATCTCTAGTTGATGAACAAAATTTGACATACTACTATAGAATTTGAGTTGGAGAAGTAAAAAATAGAATTTAAGAGGTTGAATAATGGTAAAATTGTTGGCTCTAATAATATTTCTATTGAGGTTTGGAAATATATAAAAGAAGAAGAAATTTGTTGGCTTACTAAATTCTTCAATGAAATTTTGAGATATAAGAATATGCCTGATGAATGGAAGAAAGAACTTTAGTCCCTATAGATATGAATAAGGGCAATGTTTATAATTATGCAAATTAAAAAGGAATAAAATTGATGAGTTACATTATGAAATTATGTGAAAAGGTGATTTAGGTAGATTAAGATGAGAAACTAATATTGCAGGGAATCAATTTTGTTTTATATTGAGAAATTTACAATAGAAGTTATATTTCATTTAAGAAAGTTGATGGAAAAGTATTGATTCAAAGAAAATACTTATATATAATTTTTATTTACTTGAAAAAAAAAATGATCGTCTATAAAGAAAAATGTTGTGAAAGACTTTAGGACAAAAAAAAAAAAAGAATTCATCTGACATATATTTGGGCTATACAAAGCATGTAAATTGAGGTAACAAAAAGCGTGAAAACTTTTAGAGCCGTATTTAATGGTTTCCTTATAGGGATAGATTTATACCAAGACTTAATTTGGAGTCTACTTGTTTAATAGTCTTAAATGTGTTTATCAGTGACACACAAAAATTTATCCTTAAATGTATACTTTTTGCGAATGACATAGTCTTGATTGAAGAATTAAAATAATAGATTAACTTTAAATTTAACTTTGGAGACAAACTTTGAAATTTCAGAATTTTTTCTTATGTAAGAGTGAAACACAGTTTATGCTATGCAATTTTAGTAAAAAACAAGATAATGATTATATGTTGGAACTTAAAATGGGAGATGACATAACACTACAAGCTTTCAAGTTTAAGTATTTTAGAATGATTTTACAGAATAATAGAAAAATTAGTGAAAACGTTTTTTAGAATACAAGTTAGGTGGTTATAGTGAACGAAAAACATTGCAAGTTATTTGTGATCGTGTAGTGTTTATCTAGTTGCAAATAAAGTTTTAATTGTACCACTATATGACCAATTGTTTCATATAGTAGTGAATATTAGGTTTTAAAGGAACAACGTAAGAAAAGTGAGTTGTAGAAAAGAGAATGTTGAGATGGATAAGTGATCATACGAGAAAAGATAAAATAAGAAGTAATCGTACGCGAGAGAATATTAGAGTAATACTTATTTAAGAAAAGATGACAGATAATTTATTTAGGTAATTTGGATGCATGTAAAGGTCACTAGAGATACTAATGAGAAGAATGAATGACATGTTTTTCAGTCTAATGAAAAAGGATAGGGAGAGACCTAGAAAAACTTTGGAGAAAATTATTGAAAGAGATCTTATGGTAAATAATGTTTTATAGAATTTAATTTTTGATTGAGCTTAATGATGATGTTTGATCTATATAGCCGATCTCAAATAATGGGATAAGGATTAGTTGTTATATTCTAAAAGAGAACAAAACAAAACAGTTAGTCCCATCCATTCTAATCATGTGCCAAATGCTACCTAAGTTTTCTTGTTTGTTATGGGAACTCTCTCATTTGTATTCAGGTGTACACTCTACCCATTATACACTCTACTCACTAGGGCACCAAGTTTTCTCTCCATCTCTTAAGCTTGTAATCAAAATTAATGATTTTCACTCACTTGTCCGTTGAAGTTATTGTGTTGTAGACACTCCAACTAGTGTAACATTGTTTTTATAATTGCCTGGCCAAGCTTTGTAACAAACATTTGAGAATAGTATTTTGATTAACATCTTCGGCAAAATGCCTCTAGTAGGAGTTCTACATCATTTGAATGAGATAATGCCATTAATTCAGACCAGAAGAGATATCTTGGCTCTTTGGTGGTGATTTTCATTATCTGCTTTCCTTCCTTTTTTGTTTGTTGTTCCTTTTTGTTTCTATTCAAATTGCCTCAGGATTCCCCAAACACTTAAAATGTGTTGGAGCTTGACCTGATCTTCCAACCTTTGGAGACTGTTACATTGATGCAAGTTTGATGTTATGCAAGGGTTGAGTGATGCTAGCAACACTCTCTCTAACACACTCTTTGATCCTATACTATTGGCTAAAATTTATTGAAAACTACAAAAATCTTGTGGGTTTCACTTTTTCTCACTCCTAAATTAATGTTTCTGCCTTATGCTTTTTAGTTTTCAATAAATTTTAGTTAAGAGTGAAGAGTATGTTAGAGAGAGTGTGTTAGCGACTGTAATGCTAGCATTCCTCTTTAAGTGTTTGAATCTTGTACCAGTTTCTTTTCATCTTGAAGGCATGTTCAGTTTTCATTACCAATATTCTTACTGCTGATTTCAGATAAATCTTATTACACTTGATGCTATTAGGTGACTAGAAATTTGTAAATTTGATTGATTTTCGCCCTTGAGCCTTAAAAAATTTAAGTTCAGGCTAATTGCAAAAGCCAGCTTAGAGGACAGATTGCTGCTATGAGCACTTCTAACTGTTAGATCATTGTCACTTGTAAGCTCGAGCTGGTCAATTTTGGCTTGGAAACAAAATCTAAGGCACCTCTGTAGTATAGCTGGATTGTGTCTGATGTATTATGTCCCGGATTAGTTTGTATCAATTTTTTAATTGCAATTTTTGGATGAGACCTATGTAGCTACAGTTTAACTCTTTTTTTTCTAATTAATTTAAGAAATTACATATTGGCATTTTGTCTTATTTATCTTCTTTCAGTGAGGCGTTGTTCTCTTCCTTGTGCATCATGCGCTGTTGCATTTGTTATGATATATATATATATATATATATATGCTGGGGAACTCAGATCAATTGTTTTTAAAATTATTGTAATATCATTGCTTGATAATGGTGCATTGCATGAAAATTGGACTGTTAAACATGGTTTAAAAAGTTCTGCGACTATGTCTTTCCATCTTATATATAGTATAAACATACACACGCTATTTTTCTCTGGAAGCATTCTGTATTTAAACCAGGCTGGTTGAATAATTCCTTCTGCTTGTGTTATCAGAGAGAAGCACGGTTGGAACGTAATAAAAATCGGTCCTTCTTCTCTTGAAATCTTAGCTGGGTTTTGCTGATTATATCATAGGAGACACAGTAAATAGTTCATCAGGATCACTGAGGTTATGAAGTTTACTGAAGCTATGACAAGGTGTTGCAATAAATGTGTGCAATGATATTGTACAGTGTTCCTTCTTGTCTCAATTATTAGCTTAGGTTTCAATAAATGAATTGTTTAGTGAATTATGTTGTTCAAGTGAAACCTTGTTCACCCTTGGATACTAAAATTACTCTGATAAATATATATAAATTTCCGTTTTCTTTGTTTTTACTGATCTGATAATATATGTTTTCCCTGAAGAGTAGTGCAGTTGTTCCACATGGTCACTAGAGCAAATTGCTTCTTAGAGTTTGTTAACTTGTACATTCAGTAAGAACATTTGATCAAATTACTTAGCAATGGGTGGATGGCACTGGCCTAAAATTCGGCAGATATCGTTGCAGCTATCAATCACACCCACACAAAGACGCTAAAAATCTGCAAAATATAATATATCTTTAACTATCACTTATTAAAATATTAAAAGTACTTGGTGAGATTTATTTTTAATGAATTTTAATCAGTAATAAAAAATGTGTTTGAAATTATATTGCTAGTATTTCTCAATAAAAGATTAACTAATATATAAAGAATAATAAATTAAAAGCATGCAAAATTCACCATAAAACTATCACAATTCATAATTCAGGGATAATTTACTACAAAGTATTATGTTCAATATAAAGATTATACTTGTAGTTTAACCAATAAAATATTTAGTTCAAAGACAAAACATTCGAAATGACTAGCTTAGAGTAAATTAGATTAATTTTTTGCGCTATTCTTGGATATATATAAAAAAATTATTTATAATAATAAATAATGAAAAAATTATAAAAATATAGTTTTATTTCAACTAATTTTTAAAAATATATCTAATTATAAATTATATATCTAGTTAAAATTTATTGATGACATAAAATATTTCTTATATTGTTATCTGGTCGCATAATATCATATTAGTGAATGCTTGATTTTGATAATAAAAATATTAAAAAAATGGACACGATAGAAGTTAAACTTAAAGTCAAAGTTGAGATTAAATTTAGTAAATTGAAGATTAGAGTATATATATATATATATATATATTGAGAGAGAGAGAGAGAGAGAGAGAGAGATGTTGTAAGAATTATGAAAAACACTGCATTGTATGAGATTATCTCAAAAAAAATTTATGTACGCATATTGTATTTTTTGCTAATTTATCAGTTCAACTGAAAAATTATTTCGTAGATAAAAATCGCCGAATATTCAATACTTTAATTTGCTGAATTTAAAACAAAGGAAATAATTTATAGCCAGTGTGAGTGATTCGCCATTCGAGTGTGTTTTTTTCTATTAGTTACACTTTGGATTTTGTAGTTTGAATTATATGTAAATTGTTTTTAATTTTTTAAAATAAATTAAGTCTCTTTATTTTTAAAATGAAATAATTTTTTTTCTCTTCATTCAATTTTTTTTTACTTAAAATTATAGAAATTTAGGAAGGGTATAATAAATTTGAACATTAAAAAAATTAAATTTGAAAAATAAAAATTAATTAAAAAATACTTTTCATAAAATCAAAATATTTCACTTACACTTTGCTTAGAAGTTAATTTTTGGAAAAGAAAAAAGATAAACAATTAGATTTATGATCTTTGTTTAACAGTTTTTAAATATAAAAATAATAATTTTTCTAAATTAATTTTTTAAAATATTATTATTAAATAAATCTTTTCTTTTCTTTTCTAAGAAGTAACATTAAACGAAGACCCGGCCCGACCCGATACGAGTAGCGGGCTCAAACGGGTCGGGCTTAATTAACCCAAGATAAAAATGAGCTTATATTTTTACTGCCCAAGTCTTACTCTATGCGGGCTACGAGTTTCTGAGGACTGGCCCGACAACTCAAATAATTTTTTTTTCTTATTTTTGTAACATGTCATTTTTTTTACTATTTTTATAACAACAAATCATTATTTTTATTGCTATTTTTAGTGTTTGTAACATACTATGTTAAGCTATTTTTGCAAGAACTTAATAGACCACTCGTTTTTTATGTCTAATTTTTGTATTATACTATTTATTTTATTTTATTTTATGTTGTAAAAGGCCATTAATTTCTTTTTTTTTATTATTTTTGTAGCGGTGTAAAAGTATATAATTTAGACTTGTAATTTTAGAGTTTTAAAACTAAAATATATTCTCTTTCAAACTCTTTAAAACTCAGAATTTAATCTTAATATATATATATATATATATATATATATATATATATATATATATATATATATACGGGCTGCTAGAACCCACATGGTTCAACTCAGTTAAAGCCCTATCGAGTAGTGGACTTATTTAGATCGGGCCAAAATAGCCTAAGATAATTTCGAATCTTATTTTCTAAAGTTTAAATTTACCCATTTAACAAGTTTTTTTTTGGCCAAATCCATCGGACGAGCCCATTTTAAGCTCATGTATCTCGGGAGTGATGTTAGGCCAAGAAGACAAGAGCATTGATTATTCGGGTGGTACCCGACCCAGTTGGATCCGAAGTTGATAAATTGGCGTGGGAAGCAGAAGAGGAAGCATAAGTAAAAGAAGGAAACTATGGAGCACAGAGATTTGAGCCTGCTGGACGAAGCGTTAGGCCTTCACAACAACAAGGCAAAGCCATGGCCTCTGAGTGGTCGATTCGTGCTCGTGGAAGATTGTGTTGACACAAGCGCTGCATTCGTTCTTCACCACATCCTCAAGCGCTCCTTCTCTTCTCACCCTTCTTCTTCCGTGCTCTTCCTCTCCTTCTCTCACCCTTTTCCTCACTATGATCGCATCCTCAGAAAACTAGTATTCCTCCCTTCTCTCTATTTTCATTTTTTTCTTTTAATTTTAAATGATCATTGCTAATACCTTTTTTCTTTGCTGTTTGTGTATTGGGGAACTGTGTTTCTTGTGTTTTGAACAAAATATTTCATTTATGTTATTTTTGTTATCTGTTGTGTGGTTCAATTGTTGTATTATGCTGTTATTTATGATCAAGTGTTTAGTTGGTAGTGTCTAAGCTATTATTTTTCTGAAATAAGTTAAACCGAACAGGTTCTAAATATTTGTCTTTGATTCTATTAAATAATGTTGTTCTTGATGACAGGAGTGCACTGTGATAGTGTCCCTCTGTCTATCCCATATGGTCTAGTTTTTTATTCCTCCCTGATAGTTTTTATCCATTTCATGCTAGTCATTTCTTTGTCAGATTGTTATGAATTCGGTTAATTTGACAATCTGGATGGGTACCTATGATAGGGTTGCAACTTAGCTGCTCAAAGAGATAATGGCAGATTCATTTTCCTTGACATGCTTCTGTTGCATTGTCCAGGTGAGAAAATCAGGTATTGATGTTTGGTTCTTTTTATTCCCTTGGTGCTTTGATCACCATTTGTTTGACAAAATTAAATGATGTAAGAATGGATTCATTGTGATAGTTCGTGTTTATTTGATTGTTACCGGTGTTTAGAACTTAAGAGCAGGAACTATATGTGCTGAATGTATTTTAATAAATGAGATGAATCAAGCATAATAGTTCTCCAGAAAAGCCATTGGTTCTTGGTGGGCTTTGACCTGATTGAGTAGAGGGTCAAAGGTAGGGTATGTGTCTCTTCTTAAAACATTGTCCAGCTATTTTTCAACTACACGCAACTGCAAATTGTTTGCTTCCAAGTTTATGCTCTCTAAATTGCATATCTGCAAGTTCCTTCTAAAACAAATGCAAAAGCCCTGGTCAACAAAAATACCAGAATGTTTAATTAAACATTGATTGCATCAGGATAGTGTATTTACACAATTGTTTTTGAGTCCTTGCCAGTCTCATTTTGTTTGTGTGTAGGTTATATGTTCTCTCTTTAAGTACTTACCCTTCTTTTCTCTGTTTTAATTTTATTGCATGTTATCATGGAAGTGTATTTGTGTCGAAGGAAACATATATATGATTCTCTTTTTTATTGGATCAGTAAAAGCCACCTGATTAGTTTAGTTAGGATCTCTTACCTTGAAAATCTCAGCCTTTTCAAAGATAAAACCTATCACAAAGAAGTTTTTGATCCAAAGAAATATATCATGCATATGCTACTCCTTGACTCATGCAAGGCTTAATGGACACATTTAGGGGTTATACCAAGTTTCTTAGAAATTAATTATCCTATTTTAAAACTTAAAATTCTAGTATTGCTGTATTTGATAAGTATTACAAACTATTTTGTTACCATTATTCTCTTGTAAATTATGCATTACATGCTTCTCCCAAAACTTAATGCTTACATTTTTCTTAGAGTAAAATTATACCTTATACGGTTGTAATATTTATATATCTACTGTTTCCAAGCAATATATTATTTTGTATAAACATATACTTACCTTTATGAAAATTTATAGGTTTCTACACTACTTTGACCTTAGCAAAATTTTTATGAAGTAAAGCAAATATTATTCCCATGCAAATAAGTTTTTAAAGCACATTTTCCATCAAGTACCCAACACTTTATTATAAAATTTCACTACTTTAACCCATTAAATGAAAGTTGATGGATATTCTTCTACCTTTGGTAAAGTCTAGGTTCTCCACTTGAAATATTCATTTTCTTTGGAGGTTTCTTAAAATTTTGTGCCCCTTTTACCCCAAAAATCATTCTTTCTTCATAATATCATTATTTCCATTAACTACTATATTTTCTCCACATTTTCACGTTTGGATTGCACCATGCGCGCACACATCTTCAAAACAACCGTCCAACATCACAATGACTCTACTATGGGTGGTGACCCCTCTTGAAACATGCAAAACTCATTAAAACATTCAAAACATGTAAGATCCTAATTTTTCTCAACCAACAGCCATATACACTATAAGAGAAAGGGAGAAAACATCCATAAAATAGCTGCAAAATCACATATTCATATTCAACAACCACCTATAATGAGCCCCCAAGGTAGGACTTCATTTTGTGCAACGAAAGTCACCCAAACATAAGAACAAAACTCCCCCTTGTACCTTGTCCCAAGATGCATGAAAATGGAAGGGAAAAAGGAGAACTTGACAGATTGATGTTCCCTCAAAGTGGTGTCCAAGGTCCAGCTCCTAGAGTCCTCTTGGTGCTCCACTAAAAGTTCCTCAAGAAAAGTGTGGTTATGGAATTTCTCAAGTGTTTTCTCACCAAGACTTCCTCTAACCAAAAATGAGTTAGAGAAAGAAGAGAGATAGGGGAAGGAGATGAAGTGGAATGAACAAAGTAGTGCACTCAAGGCAAATGGGGATAACAATTTTGGGAGAGGAGAGAAAGTGTGGTTATGGAATTTCTCAAGTGTTCTCACCAAGACTGCCTCTAACCAAAAATGAGTTAGAGAAAGAAGAGAGATAGGGGAAGGAGATGAAGTGGAATGAACAAAGTAGTGCACTCAAGGCAAATGGGGATAGCGATTTTCGGAGAGGAGAGAAAGAATGGCTTCCAAGTGTATGATATGTCACTTAGGGGTGGGCAACACCCGAAGGCCTGCCTGAAACCAAGGTAACCAAAAGTCTAAAAACACTAATTGGGTGGGTTAAATTGGGTACGGGTTAAGTCGGGTTTTATTTTCAGACTAAATAGAGTTAATGTGGACGGGAACGGATTGTTACTTTTGTAACTGATTAAATCCATCCCGACCGAACAAAATCATTAATCCCTGAGACTTCCAAGACCCCACTTGTTTAATGCACGTCTTTATAGTATACTCCGCTCTAATTTACAAAACTGACAATATATTCCAGAAATTTAAGTTCCTCTTGAAAATACTTTTAGAAATTCATTTTTGATCTCTTGAAAATTTCTCGTCAGTTAAATAAATTAAATGGATGCTGACATACTTTCAGTCTGTTAGATTGTAGGAATTTACTCGGCACATATCAGGATCATTACAAAATAGTCTCAAATGAGGTCAAAATTGTATTAAACCAATTTTATTCAACCAATTCTAAAAAACAGAGGGTGTTACAATACTCCTCTCTCGTCTTTGAAATTTATTAACTTGAGTCAAATAGGTGCAGGTATGAATCCTTATCTTTGCTTCTAGCTCCCATGTGGTGTCTCCATCATGTGTTGTGCTCTAGATCACCTTAACCAACAGAATTCCCTTGCCTCACAGTTGCTTAATCCTACGATCACTAATCTAGACATGCATGGTTTCATAAGTTAAACTCTCTCTCAAGTGTACTTGATTTGGTTCGATGACATGTGAAGGATCATGAACATACTTTCGGAGTTGTGAAACATGAAAGACATTATGCAGATTAGATAGAAGTAAAGCTAAGGCTATTTGGTAAGCTGAGGCTCCTATTTTTTTAAGAACTTGGTAAAGTCCATTGAATTTAGGGCTAAGTTTTTGAGACTTCAAGACTCTGCCTACCCCGGTTGTAGGTGTAACATTCAGAAATACATGGTCTCTCTCTTAAAATTCAAGGGATTGCCTCTGTTTGTCAATATAACTCTTTTGTCTATTCTCCGCTGCCGTCCTTGCCATGATAGTTTGCAATCCCATGATCAAAACAATTTAGTGACAAGAAAACATCTACCACAAGATTAGGCCTGAGTAACAAGTCAGAGTCACACAGAATTTGGGTAGTTTAGGCCATACCCAAGGCTGGATGAATTGAACTGTTCTGATACCACCTAATGTGAAACCCCTTAATTCTCAATCTATAACCTAATAAATATATGATCATTTATATTAGGTTATAGATTGAGAATCAGGGGTCTCACAACAGGCCTAACTGGAAGATTCCAAACTGCTTTAGTGTGATTAACAAAATTGAGATATTTGATGTATATACTTGACTGTGTAATATCGATGTTATTGATGTCTAGATGAAGGAAAATCTGATCATGATGGGCTTGATTCTGTATTTGAGAAAATTGAAAGACTGATCACTGCATTACATCAAGACAAGAAATTCGTTTCTATCATGATAGATGATGTATCTATTCTTGAAGTTGCTGCTAATGGCTCTTCAAATGATGTTTTAGACTTCCTGCATTATTGCCATACACTAACATCAGAATCTGTAAGATAATACATCTTTCACTGTATTTGAAATCACTTTCTATGATTTTGTTTCTTATCTCTCTGTTCCTGTCTCAGGGTTGTGCATTTATTGCACTTGACCATAAGGATATTTATTTGAATGAAGAGAGGCCCACTGTTAACTTAGAGATGGAGTACCTTGCTGACATTTTGGTCAAGGCTGAACCTTTGGCCACTGGTTTGGCAAAAGAGGTGCATGGGCAGGTATAGTTGTATTATTCTAGATAATGAATTCAAATTGCATCTGTTTATGTGATTCTACATTGCTTTTAAGGTTGATGGAGTAAAGTAACTCTACTGAGAATAATCCCTTTGAGTTCTGTCCGAGATATATTGACACCCATATTGGTGTAACACCCATAAGGGAACCTGAAGTTGCTATCTTTCCATCATTAATAGTTCTGACTTATGAGCCACTCGGTTGACTGAAATATTACATTATTTCATTTTGTTGATTAAATAAACTCTGCCAGTGCTGCTTTTCTGTTGCCATGGAATACAGAATAGGAGATCTCTCCTTCTGAGGCAAGAGATTGTATTACACAACATGCTTGCCTTGTTGTGCTGACTTTAAAAAGTAAGAAAAGGTGTCAATTCACTGAAGACACTACTATTGGTTTTCCAAACATACAAGGTCTTATGTTTGGTCTTAGTAAGAAACTTGATCTAAGATTTGTCCTTTTTATCTAGTATTACTACATTTTATTTTTAAAAATAGAAAACTGTTTTTAGAAGGGAAATCAAACATGCTCGTTTTTCACTTTTCCTATATAAGTTGTCTGTCTTCTGCCTTTGTTCTTTTCTCTTCTTGGCACTTGAATGATACGGTCCACATGTAAGGAGCTGCAATGATTCCTCCTAATATTTCATAATAAAATATTCTGATTTCCTTCCCTATTTTCTCTCTTTCCTTATTTATGTAATTAGCATAATTGGGTATGATTGATACCCATAATTTTAGCATAGAATTAATTACCATAGCTGTATAAATGGGAACTATTATACACCATAAAATCAATGAGAAATATTTATTCAATAATCTGTCGGGTACCAAATTCCAACTATTATTAAATCCCAATTACCAAGGAAATTTGTCATCATTTTGTATGCTTTGCAGCCAGGCCTATGTCAAATTTATTCTATTTGTTTCATGGCCCAGGATGATCTCAAAACACAGCAGAGCGCAGTTGATCTGCAGACCTTTAAATGCAATGATTTTTGCTGCTTCTATATCATGTCTGATCCACAATTCAATTCTGCGGCATCCAATTTTAATCCCTCATTATTTATCTATCATCAATGGCATTTTAGTGCAATTATAAAGCTTTTTGATCCTTTCCAATAAAGATAAAAGGAGAAAAGAAGCCATTATTGTTTATCTTTTTACTGTTGAATTATGTTGTAGTAATGCCTACAACTGCTAATAGCTCATGCTTTTGTTTGCACTGATTCCATGGATTTCTCTTTTCTTTTCAAGATGATTTAGTAAAGCAACTGCTATCTGTAAGAATAGGATAAATCATATCACCTAAATTTCGGTTGATTATGTTTTGTTATTCATCTTATGCAGTTGATGGTGTTAGATAAGGAAACACAACATCAACATGGAATTTCAGCCATTAAGCTTCACAATTTTCACTTCAAGATCAAGGAAAATGGAATCGAATGCTTTTATCCTGGCACAAAAATCTAGTGCTGCTCTATAATGCTTGTACAAATCACCGTGTAATCTTGAAAGAGAATAAAACTTTATCTTATTTTTGTTTATTTTTCGTTTATTTGGTAGAAAGAAAGTCATTCTTAACTTTCAGTAGGGACCTTACTTATTTTAACATGAAAATTTCAAGGAAATTTTGAATTGTGTGAGATAATGGTTTTCGTTGTCATTAAACATAGATTGGTCATCAAGGAAAATGTGTGCATGCTCACTCATAAAGTTAGTCCTTAAGATGTGTCAAATATTTTAATTTTTTAACTTTGTGAAATTGACAATCAATTGTCTCATTAATATAAAATAACGATGAAAAATAATGGAAAAGGAATGAAATGAATGACCTTAAAAATTATAAGGGACTAACAATGAATTTTTAAAATTTTAATGACTAAAATATTTGGTTCATATACTTGAGGATTTACACACACATAGTTGATATTACGTTTAGTACTAAAATACTTCAACAAAGCATGAGTTGAATCAACGTTTTACTAAATCTTTTCAGCCTAGTGCAAACGTCACTCCTTTCAAAATGTGTTAATGAAAAATATGGAAAAAGGTCATTCTTGATGAGAGACGAGCATGTAAAAATATTCGAAGCATAATTTTACTTTCCCCATTCTTTTCTACCTTCATTTTTTTTCTCTCTTGCTCACCCTCTTTGAAGTTTCATTTTCTTCTTTACCATCTTCAATAGACCATCATAAAATCATTGTTGTCTTGGATCACACAACAATAGAACACTAGTTGGACTCTGATGTGCATGGCTATCACTAGATTGAATTACTAACATTGATGTGTTAGCCTGGAAGGTTCTCTCATGTGTTAGACTTAGTTGCTATCAATCCGACCAAAACAAGAAAATTGCTATCAAACACATTTTTTTCCTTTCTTAATTTAAAATAGTAAGATGATGCGGCTTTGAAAAGGGAGGAATTTTCTAAACATTTTCTAAACATTCATAGCCCCTAGTTCCAAAGTCATGGGTCTTTTTATGCTTCTTTGATCCATGGTGTTGCTGGGATCAATTACCAGTTCAACTAGTTGAATTGATAAGATCAAGGTTATCAAGCGGATAGTGGGTCATAGCGAAAATTTAAAAAATTATTATATAGGTAATAAAAAATTATAAAAAATTTAAAATATAATTAGTTTAACCCACAGTTTAAAACATAACTCAATACAAAATAAACAATTTTATATTTTTTGTTATTTTTTTTTTTATTATTCATCTTCTACTGCTCTGTTTTAGGTTCTGTCCCCCGTACAATGCAACAGTTTCAGTGAAAATGTCTACTTTTCTTTTCTATCTCGTAGTTTATAGGTTTTTTAAGAGTAAAAAAAGACTTTTCTCATTTTAAAAAAATTAGTCTTTTCTTTTTGTCTCTAAAATAACCATGTTTTAAGTTTGTTTTTAAAGGTAAAATAGTCTTATCGGAATGCATCACTAATCCATTTTCTTCTCCACTTCTATTTGATGCTCCCTTATCGAATATCCATTTGTCTCTATTTTTTTAGTGGGCATGTCCCTGTCTCTGGTTTGGGTGACTTCCTTCCCTCATCAGTTGCCAGAGATGGAGTAGTTGTCGCCGAAGCTGCAGAAACAATGGTCGCCAGAAAGGGGTTGAAGAAGAGCCAAAATCACAATAATAACAAAAAGTAGAAGATGGAAGGTGAACCACGAATGAAGAACACATATCGAACAAGAGAAAAATGAGAGACAGAGAGAGGCAACTGTTATTTTTTAGGGTTTGGCTCGTAGTTTCTTTCTTTGGACTAGGTTGAGTCACAACCTAACTCATTTTTTTTGCAATATATATATATATATATATATAATGGAGAGCATGAAAACAACCATTGATTCCCATTATAGCCGCACCATAATGGTTATTTGATAACACTGGTCTAAACTAAGTTTCACAAGATTGATCAATTTTATCAAATTTAAGACTCGTCTTTTATCGGTGTGAAATTAAATAAAATTGGTTCAAGTGGTATGCTTGATTATTCTTTAGGTGTTAGATTCAAACTTTTGAGTATGAAAAAAATTCTTCCTATGAAAGCTAGCTCTTACCCGCCGTGAGAATAGTTGTAGAGTAAGATTACCTCAAGATAATTGTAATTTAAAAACAAAATGAAGTAAACTGGTGTTGGATCCAAATTAATAATAGCTTATTGATGAAAGGATAGCTTAGTCCTTGTTACAGATCCTATTCTTGCCTGTACATTAGAAATCCTAACTACGGTGGAGCTTCAATTTGAATAGTAAGATGACAAGGTTCTTATTTGTCATTATATCTTATTTGTAGAAGTCGTCGACTTTATTCTTTTTTCCTCCAACTGATAGTGTTAGTATATTGTTCTTTTTCTTTTTCTTTTTAATTTGAGTTAGTCATATGACCACTAAAAAATGTATGAAATGAATTTCAGACAATACAGAAATTTGATTAAAACATTATTAATTATAAATCAGGTTTATTTTATCATGTAAGACACTACTCATTCATGATTCAATCTCAAGGTAACTACTAAATACTTATGCTATGAGGCTAAGTAATATAGGAAAAACAAATTATTTTGTTATGATTTTTTAAGAATTAAACCTTTAATTTAGTTATTAAGATTGTTAGTATAAGACATTTTAGTTTTTAAAATTTTAAAATGTTTTGACAGTCTGACATTTTTTTCTATCATTTAATTTAGTACTTGAAATTATACACTATTAAAATATAATAATAAAATACTAAAATATCATGTTAAGTGACATATATAATAGATTATATAGAAAAAATAATATTGTATATAATATGTTATATGTTTTTATTTTATTTTAATTTTGAAAATAATAAGTATCAAGCATTTTAGTTTTAAATTGTTAAAATATTTTGTCTATTCATTTTTTTTTATTCATTCCTTAACACCATCGGTTGAAAATTGTAACATCTCTTATTTATTAAAAAAAAAAATTCTTTGAAGTATAGAAATATCAATATGATGTGATTAAAATGAGTAAAGGATAAACAAATATAAGAAAAAAATTTGTGTATGTAAAATCTAAATTACTGAACATAGGCAAAATTTAAAACTTTATACATATAATAACGATTAATTACTAATTATTACACCTCTACTTTGAATCATTATTTAAAATAATTACATCTTATAAATAAATTTGAATTGAAACTCAATTAATAATATATTTAGAATTTTTTTCCCAATAAAGTAAATCATGCAGAAGAGTTTCTTTCCTACCATTCCTTATAAGTATGATTCTAAAATGGATCAATCCTCTTTTTATCGCTTCATTATCTGAAAAAGTTCTAAAGGTGAATATTCCTCGCTCCACTAAAATTCTTATTTTATAGAATAACAAATAATAATGCAGAAATATTTTTTTATTTAATTAACCTAATTAAATTTAACGCCTGAATTTATACTTTATTTATTCATATAATTCTAATCAAACAAAAGTTATTCATGAATATTACTCCACATTTAACTAATTTTCATTATCCAATCCATATTTTCATGTCACTTTATCCATCTCAGATTTGAACATCTCATCAACGGTACTCTAAATACTCTCGAGCTCCTAAATCGCTGTCAATGCACTCTCCTTAGTTACGAAGAATTTACGCAGCATGGATAGTCGCTGGTTAGCTAAACTACACACAGATACAACGTGCTCGTTCACAGCCTTCCAGACAAAGGTATAGTTAGGAGTTCAGTCAAGAAATGAATGTGAGGCCTGTAAATGCATTTCACTTTTACATCGTGTACACATCAATGAACCGCATTTACCACTCTTATTTCTCCCATATTTTCATAATCAACTCCAGCCTCTATACCCCTAGTGTATCTTTGAACTATTCATACAATATTTAAACAATAGGACATCAAGTTATATTATTCTAATACATATGTTGCAGACACATTAATCGATGTACTACAATATATATGTTATAATCTCATTCGTTGGTGTATTACAACGCATATATTATAATCGCACCAATCGGTGTGTTTGTAACATACATACTTGTATCCCTTTTTTCTTTTTTCCACACATATTCATCACTTTTCATATCATACAATTTCCTTTTCTTTTGATAACATATAAAATTTCCAATCCATATACTTTATCTCATTCATCAATTTCAATTTCACAATTTTCCTTTTCACATAATCAATTTTATACTTTCTCAGATATTCTCAAATATCCAGTCTTATTCAAACTTAATCCAACTCACACATACAGGATACAATACCTTTTATATCACTCTCACATAACAATAAGCTTTTCGATTATGCATATAATCACAAGGCAGACACATATCATCACAAGTTCAATATAATTATCATATTCTGTCATTTCAGCATATATTCACAAGACAATAACATATTATCACACAATTCCATACAATATGCTGAGGGTTAGACACTCTCGGACTCAGCCCAAATTGTGCAATCCATAATATATTGCCAGATATCACATTCTCTCAGTCTTAATAGAATCTTCTAGCCTAAAGTTTAGCATATTTCACTGTTTAACTCATTCTTACTCGTGACTATTTATGATAAATTTCGTCTCAAGTGATTTTAAACGGATCAAAACCTCTTTTATACCAAAAATCCATTTCAAACTTATATAGTTTCAAGAAAACTTTATGGATTTACTTTTTAAAATAAGATAGCCCCCTTACCTAGAAATGGATCTTAAGAACTAAGTTCTTCGTGTGCTCTAGAGAGAAACTTTATGTCTCAACCAAAAATACTACCCAAGGACTAGAGTTCTTCCTAACATCACAAGGTAGATTACTATTATGAAAGAGAGAAAAGAGAAATAGGAACGAGATTCAAGGGATGAGCTCCAAAAAGATTCGAGTGGAATGGATGTTTAGGCTCAGATTCGAGGGAGATCCAAAGTTATAGGAGGTTTTCTTTGGGAAGGGAGAGGGAGAGAACGAAGAGAATGGAGAGGAAAAGATGATTTGGTTAAAAAATAAAGTTTTAGGACAAAAGTTCTTTAAATATCTCTTAAACTTAAGACCTTCTCGCTATAGCGAGCAGCTCTCGTTGCAATCAATAAACCAAAAAGTTTTCTTCTTTTACTGTCTATTATTCTAGTTAC